AATTGCTTTTTTTCAATCGATACAGAATAGAGCTGCAAAAATAACTGTTGGACGTAGAAAGTATGACCATGTGACACCCATTTTAAGAGACCTACATTGGCTAACAGTGAAAAAAAGAATCAACTACAAAATTTGTGACTATGTATAAGGCTATGAACGGGTTGTTACCAGTATATCTAGTAAATAAAATCTTTAAAAAAACCAGCTTCTTCAACAGGTGTAAAATTGAGATCAGACTATGCCAACTTACTGGCAGTGACAACTACTCAACTACAAACTGCAACTAGAAATATTGCCGTGTCAGGACCAATAGCTTGGAACAGTCTTCCGCAATCGCTCAGAATGCCTGGACTAAAGCTTGATGATTTTAAGAGGAACTTTAAAACATATTTATTTTGACATAGAAATACCTTGTACTTTATTGAACTTCACTGATTTCATTTATAATAGAGAGCGCTTTCGAGAAATTTTAATTTTATAATGTGCATAATAAATTGTTGATAATATATATATGCGTGTGTGTGTGTGTGTGTGAGCGCGTATGTGTGCATGTGCGTTTGAGAAAATAAATAAATTAATAAATGAAAAATATAACTAGCATTGCTTACAAATCATATTTGTCAACTTTGGTGTAGAATTTAAGGTTATTATAAAAACATTGGTTGCTATATCTAAATCTCATGGACAAAAATAATTACTTATTTTCACACACACACACACATATATATATATATATATATATATATACATACCTATATATATATATATATATGTGGGTGTGTGTGAATGTGCACGCATGTAGAACGAGCAAACATGTGATTTGATGCACAACAAAAAGGCAGTCACAAAGCTATAAAAACACGTACGCGTACCCGCCCAAAATTCGCATAGGAACATATGAGCAACATACAAACAGCATGAAAGATAGGCAACATAGATAGATGCTCACATGATGTATCGTCGTATAAAAATTCTACAGAATTGCTTGTTGGAATTTTTACGCTTTCTTTATTTTCCTCAATGGCATTTGGCAGTAATACTTTTTTTTATATAATGCGCTTCTCCGAAAATCATAAGCTTCAAGCCATTGCACAAAAACAACAATAATTTTAATGAGTTTTTCTTTTGAATGACTGCAACACAAACGTGATAAATTATAACGTTTGAGTTAAAACGAACCAAAAAATTAAATTAGTTTTTTGATTGGTCGCAAAAAAGTTCGTAACAATTTATTGTAGTTATTAAGCTCTAAAAACATAAAAAAAATAATCTGTTGGAGAATGATTCAGTTTTTCAAATTCCTCAGAGATGCAATCATGTTTTCTATTCGCGTAATTGTTGTTGTCAGTCCTGCTACCTGAGGTGGATTGAACATGCTTATTAAACTGATAAACTGATTAAATTGTATACAAATGTCTAAAAAATTAATTAATTTTACTTTTTCTAATATCATCAAGTGCTGATCATGAGCGCTGTTAATAAAGGCTTCACTCTTCAGTAAGTTGTCCTTTTCGGAGTTACATTTTTCTATGGCACCAGAAAGTCGTTGCAAAAGCTGGCATACATCTATCCTGTCCTGAATATTGAAATATGGTCATTGCAGGCAATGGATTTCTAATAGAGATGCACCGAATGTTCGGCCTATCAGAATATTCGGCCTTGGCTATTTTTAAAATCCGAATAGTGCAACTATCGTGTGAGCCATCAGTTTTTTAAATTTCATAACAATAATATTTAAATATTATTAGTTGGAATGCGACGGTTCGAATTCAGGGGTTCGGATCTGCGGATTTAAAGTTGAGGATCCACCATTTTACGGGTCCAAAATCAACCCAAAGAACGAAAAAATTTCGATCGGCGTAAAAATTGTCAACATTTTTGAAAGTTAATTTACCTAGAATAAAACTATCGGATTAATGAATAATTAAACTTTGACTGTTTTGATACTGACTTGCGTGAGAAAATTTTTATTTTTAATAAATTTGAATGAATAACCCTGTTCATTACTATGAACAATCGATACATCTACGTTTCATAATTATTTGTTTGGCTTGTCAGAGGAAGGCTTTAGCAAGTAGCAGTATACTTCGTTTTGACACATTATTTTTGGTTTTAGGATCGTATGCAAATTGGATCTGGATTCGAATTTGGATCCGTTCGGATTCATCATCAAGATTCGGATCCAGATACAACGAATCTCAGGTTCTTAGATTCATCCTATTCCTAATTATTAGCAAAAAAATTTTTGGCCATTAAAACATCTAAATTTGAACAAATGATTCAATATTATCTTAATAAGGAATTGTTAAACATGGGGCACCTGATGATTTTTTCAATAGCTTTTTTTATTTTAAAAATACAATTTTTTTTTAAACGGTAGGCTTTTGGTATTTGGCCTTTGACCTCGGTCAAATATTAGATCCACTATTCGGCCATTCGGCCTTCAGCTAAATTCACTATTCTGCGCATCTCTAATTTCTAACGTTTATAGGTTTATCAACTAAAAAGTGCCGAGTTTTTAAGACAGTTTTTTTGTACGTGGTTACAATGTTATATTCGACTGCAAGTGAATTGATACTCAATTAATTAAAATATAGAATTATCACATATCAAGTAGAGACACAGAGAATATTCGGCCTGGCCAAAATTTGACATTTGGCACCCACCAGTTTTGAAGGCCAAATAGCCGAATGTTGCTATTTTCGTTTAGGTCATCATTTTTTTTTATTTCAGAACCATATATGTGTTGATTATTAATATCGGAAAATTTATTTTGGCCATCATAGCTGTTAAAACATCTGAATTTGAAGAATTTATTGAATGCCAAAAAACTTAATTTTTTAAAATGAAAAACAAGTTATCGAAAAAACAATAGGCAAATTATGTTTATCCAACAGCAGATCTTTATCGAGATTACATTGAATCTCTCGTTTAAATTCAAATGTTTTAATTGCTATGATGGTCGAAATAAATTTCCGCTAAATATTAACAATTATACTTCTTAAATTCAAAAAAGTGATGGTTTAAACAAAAATTATAACATTCGGCTATTTGACCTAAAAATGGCTGAAGTCGAATGTAAAATTTCGACCGAATATTCGGCCAGACCAAACATTCGTTGTGTTTCTCCTTTTTATGATTCAGTCTTCGTCTTTGCCGGAATCGCTTATTTCATCACCCGCTCACTTCTTCACCCACTGTTTCACTTGATCACTTCTTCACTCACACAATCACTCACTTCTTCGCTCGCCCACTTCTTCACTCAAACAATCACCCACTACTTCACTTGATCACTTCTTCACTCACACAATCACTCACTTCTTCATTCACTTATTCACTCAATTTTTTAATCACCTTTTCACTCATTTCTTCACTCACTCAATCCTTCCCTCACTCACTCACTTCCTCATTCTCGGCCCAACTCCCTTTTCAATTACTAATTCACTTATTCAATACTCATTTCCTTGTTTGGTCACTCACTCACTTTTTCACTTACTCATTTACTCACCCATTCACTAACTCGTTCGCTCACTTAGTTCTTCACTTACCCACTAACTCACCTCTTTACTCATTCATTCAGTCGTTCACTGACTCACTTGAACTCGAATATAGACATCCTGTACATCGGCCATCCTGCAGACGTGAATACACTGAGCAACATCCATCGATTGCAGATTTTGAAAGAGAACGTCTGAAGAACCGGACAGGCACTTGATCACAGGGACATATTCGTGGCTCCTCCTTCCGACCACCTCGCTTATCAAGACTAAATTATGATTTCCCATAAATTATTCATCAAAATATTTACATTAAAAAATGAATATAGGTATAAAAAGAAAAACAGAGCAGTGGTAGGAAGAAATGCAGCACAAAGAGTGAAACCATATACTTGGTATATAGTGGAGCTTCTCAATGTTCAGAAGGGTTTTGACCGAATTGAGTTTGTTGACAGCTATCAAGACTTCGCCCATCTCCTTTTCAATGGAGAGATCTCGGCGGTGGCACTGTGAAGGCATTTTAAACAGAATCACTGAAAAAGTCGAGCCAACTGATTGTCTTTACAATTAAAATTTTACTGTTAATATTAACAGTAATATTAATTGCAATCAAAATTTGTTTTAATAAATAATCGTGTAAATAATTTTAAAAAATCACTAGAGAGTACATGGTTTGGTTTTGGATAACTGCTTATTAAAATAGATTCCTTGAAATTCATTTGGAAATTCACACAAAATTTGTCGGAAGATGACTTGACGACGTTTGACAATTCTTGGTAGAGATGTTCTGATAAGAAGGGCATGAAGGGGTGCAAGAGTTTTAAGAAAGTATTGAAGCACGTGAACATCACCGACATCACCACATTCACGTTTGTTGGCAATTCCTTGGATCCACCAAGAATTGGTTTGGTACATTCCTGTAAAATTTAAAAGGGATATTCTTTTATTCAAATAGCAATGCATTATAAACAAATTTTTTAACGAATGAATGCCTACTTATAACGTTTCGGTTTAGAAAATTAGTCCGACGCTAATTTTGACAATGCAACTAATCATTATTATCAACATCCTCCCCCTCCTTATCATCATCATCATCATCATCATCATCATCATCAGCAACTCGTCATTCATGCTGCCTATCAAGACGAGAGAAACAGCAGCAGTATTAACAAACGAGCAAGCGACAATGAACAGAACATGCAAAACAGGACGCACCAGGTAAATATTGCAGAAGTCCAGCCACCAAAACTGCTGCAACAATTTCGCTGCGTCAAAGAGTTGCATGTTTTGAAAACTTTCCTGGCAAACTTCAACAACATTACGTAACCGACTAAGAATCCAACTGTCTAATGTGGATAACTGTGTGGAGATCTGTCGATTTGATACGTGTGGCTATTTCAATTGTGTGTTGATGGAGTGAAATTAACATACGTGATGTTACGATACATACATTGTAAGTTATTGTAGATATACGTAATATTACATAGCTAATTTAAAAAAATAATAATATAACGTTTTAGAGATCGAAATGAAATAAATTATGTCAATGATAACATTGTTGAGGTCAGAATGCAAAAGAACGTCTTTGTGATGATTGAATTTGTTGATGAAATATTTGAAAGAGTGCCAGATCTTGTTGCAAAATGTTCTACACGACTTGAAGTGGTTAACATCAATGTTCATATAATGACCTTCAAAAACAAACAATCATTCCATTCATTTGTCCATTAATCATCCTTTCAATCCATATTAAATTTATCACTCTATATTATCAATGTAACATCAGCCAGCCTCTGAAAACATCAGCAAACATCTGAAAAACACCACTAAAATAACATTAAAAAAACCAAACATACAAACAATAACAAAATTTATATTATCAAGACTATAAAAAGGCAATCAAATAAACAAATAAACCAACGTACGAACGAACGAACGAAACGAACAAACAAATAAATAAGCGAAAACAAACAAACAACATAAAAACAACAAAAAAAAACGACGCAGCAACCTAAATAATTATTTGAGAGGAGAGCAAACCTCAAAGCATCAGCACCACATTCGGGAATTCCCAATGGAAAATCCCGTTTTAAAACAGCACCGGCTTTTCTTATTTCCTCTTCGCTTAAGTTTGATTCCGACAGAGATGATATTAATTTCTAAAAAAATATTTAATTCAAAATCTTAACATATGTATGAATTTATATTCATTCGAAATTCAAAAATAATTAAATGTGAACCCACCCGAGAATGCCAAAACATTGCTTGGTGTTCTTGCATAACCAATCAAGTCTCAGAAACATAAACATAATCATCGAATCACCAATGCATTAAAAACTTGTTAATATAAAAACGAGCAGCAACAGTAATTATAAAAATGCCTAATGAATAGCAATAAGAATGGAAGAATGCGGTTGAAGCAAGACAGACGTACATCCAGTGAGACTCCATTGATGACGTGCATGGGGTCAATGACGTTGCCAAGTGACTTGCTCATCTTCCTCCCTCTGGCGTCCTGCACGATGCTGTGGAACAACACCTTCATTGTTGTCGTTCGTTCGTTTGTTTGTTTAAAACAAATTATTTACAATGAAATATTTTTTAACCATTAATTCAAATTGTTGTTTTAACTAGTACGAACTAATTGAAGAAACAAATACATAAATATCTCCACGAACTTTTTTAAATGGCAACTTTCCAGTCAGCTGTTGAGACATCATGACCATTCTCGCCACCCAGAAAAACATTATATCGCTGGCCGTTTCCAGCAAGTCAGTTGGGAATAATTGGGAGAAGTCGAGTGTCTTCGGACAATTTAAATTCAGAGTTTTATAAAGTTCAATATTTTTAAATAGAAAATAAGCTTATTTATTATTTTAATTTCAAAAAAAAAACATCAATATATAAAACAAATGATTAAAGTGACTTATTTGAGCAACCTCATGAGGCCATCCAAAGTTAGAAAACGGCAACAATGATGATGAGAACCACGTGTCCAGAACGTCATCATCTGCATCAATTGTGTTGGCAGAAGACATTCAATTCATTCAACCCAACCGGCCAGAGCAAGCCAATCAATCACAAATTTTAATTAATTAAAGTTTAACACATTAAATATTTATTTAATTAACTTTTTCTTCAAAGATTTGCTGTTATCTATCAATAATTGTTGTAATTATAAGATTTATATAGCCTTTGGTTCTCGTAGGCAACTGGCGTTAGTGTTATGTTAAATGAGATCTAGAAATTCCATAAAATTATTTTTCGAAGATTTAAAACATTTTGATAGGTAAGATTTTTTATAGTCTGGCATTAACAACTTCGACTAATCTAATGAATTTCCATTGGCTGCCATTTGACTTCCTTGTATTGTTTGAAGGAGTCGTTATCGTCGTCAAACTCTCAACCTCGCATTCACCGTCATATCTCGACGATCTCCTACGTGTTAATACAAACAACAAGCAACTTCGCTCAGCCATTGATCTACAATTCCATTAATAGAAAACAATCAACAATATCGTCAGTCGTGCATTCCGCCATGCTGAACCTCACGCCTAGAATTCTCTTCAACCAAACGTCAGGGATTGCAGTTCCGTTTCTGTCATTCAAGTCGTCAATGAAATCTTTTCATTTTAACAAAGCTTTTTAAACGTTCGATTAAAGATATTCTGTTTCGAGGGAGCCTCCGTCGCTGGCCAGGGCGCTTTATAAGTGGCAATTAAATTATCACGATAAGACCTTTATTATTAAATATATTAATACTCAATAA